GTGTCATGTCTCAACCTTCGCGTCGAACTTTCCTCTGAATGAGATCACATAACTGATGTCTGAACAAATCCATGTATGCATACCTACTTTGTTTATTTGTTATTTGTCTGTGCAACATACGTGTGTGAAATTTCGTTCGATTTGGTTCACAGGTGAGTTATATTTCATTTTCATTTTCTTTTTCTTTTTCTTTTTCTTTTTCATATTTATTTGTTTGTTTGTTTGTTTGTTTGTTTATTTTTCGAGCAAAATTCAAGGTACTTCATTCGTTTCATTTCTCTTCATTTCTCGTTTCGTATGTTGTGGAATTTGTACGGTACTTCTGTACTTATATTCTGGATATGCGGTCGGTTTCAGGCATTTCAGATACGGTACCTGGGCTAATGATTTTCCCAGTCTGACCGCGCGGTCAGATTCAGATATTTCGGAGTTACTTTGGACCTTCGTACTTATATTCTCACTGTGGTCGCTTGGTTACTTCATGGATTTCGGAATATGTGACTTGAGACGTGAGATGTTATAGCTTAGTTATCCTTCGTGTTTGTTGCTTTCTTTCGCCTCATTGCTTTCTGTCTTCTTCCTCCAGGAATTTTAAGAAGTGTTGTCGTATCTCATTATGTTTGCAGTTTCTGATGAAAGCGAGCCAAGCCATTCGTGACACTCTCCAAGGATATTCCATGATATTGAGTTCTGTCGCGTATAGTTTCACTACCGCTGGTAAATCAAATGGGTCGTACGTGTTGGCGACCATTCTGTGCAGTGTGCCAAGTATCGTGAGTACCTTGGTTTTCACGGACCCCACGCTCCTGAAGTGACGGATAGATCTCAGAGAGAGAGAGTTCAAAACCCCCTCCTGGAGCATCTCTTCATTCTTTAATCTATGTGTACACTTCAGGAGGGGTTGGTTATCTCCTTTCAAAATTCTTGTTTCCAAGTAGTTCCATTTTGTGCAATCTATATCTAATGTTCTTTCCAATTTGAGCAATTTATGATAGCATGTAGCAAAGGAATTCATACATTCAATTGTTTTTTTGGTGTCATTTTTATCTGCTATGATCACGATCATCACATCATCAACAAATCTCATTCCATGCACCACTTTTCTGTCCATTCCAATTTCAGATTGCCATTTGTATTCATCATAAGCACAAACCATATTGGCGATTGGTGGGCTGGATCCCTTCTCCATGGGAATACCCTGGATTTGCTTCAATAGTTTGCCTTAGACTTTAAAGTATGCATGTTTCATGTCGTAATATAGTAGATCATGCAGTATATCGATTTTTACTGTTCTCCATCTGTATGTTCGGTTTGCTTTGCCGAAATTTATGTATTTTGCTCGTGTTTTGTAACACAAATGAGTTTTTTTCTTTTCTCGTGTTGTGTTAAGCATCCATTGCATGGAGTTAATGATATGTGTGTGATCCAGATTCGAAAACATATCCTTAACGTCATGTGTGGTACATATGAGTGTGGCATCCCTACCATATTGTTCTTCTGCCATTTTGTTGCACTCTTTCAATCTCGGAACTAATTGGTTTGTCCCTTCCAGAGCAAATCTCACTTTCCATGTTTTACATAGGAAATTAATTGCCCTGGCAAGGATTTTTGAAGCGTGTCTTGATGGTTCATTATACGTGGGTACAATTAGTCGCCTTCGGGTGACGTCCTTGTTCTTAGGAATTGTGTATGCGCTTTCGTAGTTCCCTTTGTCATCCCATTTCGCAAGTCTTTCAAGTCCTAATGATTGGTATGTCGATTTTGCCTCCTAGATAATTTTCAATTTTGATCTGTGAATGACTTCGTAATGCGTAGACTCGAAGAAAAATAACGTCGTTTTCTCAAACCATGCTTTAGTTCCCCCTATGTTTCTGTCCAGTGGTGATCTGATGAATGTGTGAAGCTCATTTATGATTTTTCATACCTCCGATATTTCCAACTGATTCTGATTATCCGTTACTTCTTTACAACACTCAAATAAATCAATATGCACCGCTTTTGTTTGTCGTAGGTTTGGTGGGATCCTTCCAATGGTTTGCGTAATTACTTTATAGATCTCTTGTTTACCTACTCTTTCATTCATGTGTGGTATATTTTTCGCGTTCCAAAGCAGTCGATTATCAACAATGTCACTCAGTCAGCATGCCACATGTGCGTCATTCTTTGAAAATGGTGAGATCTCACATCTACAGTCAAGTGCGATTTCAGTTACTTGTCTGTGATTGTATAGGATTTTTCAAACTGTTTTTTATTTTTTGAACATCACTCGCATCCTGTTGATCATATCGTTTGCAAGGTTTGCATTGCTTAGTGAATCCATTATCGTATCTGTTGCTGCTTGTCGAACCTTACTCAAATTTATCTGTGCTGCATACGAAATTTCAAAAATTAATCTTCGTTTGATTGAATAACCAAATAAAAGAATCAGAATCTCATCCAGTGATAGTTTATATAGCTCTTTCCTCTTCCATGATGCTCGTAGACAGTTAATCAATGTATTCATGTATCTATTTGTCTTAGGTCATGTGTACACCAGTTTGATAACGCAAAATTTACAACCTTGTTCAATTTTTAATCTGCACTCCTCCAGCATGAGATGTGCGTTCTCAATCTCAATAATAGTCGACCCATAGGTGCGTTTAATGAATTTTCATTTTTCATGCCACACTCCACCCATTGTCCTTTCAATCATTGCTTTGCGTTGTAGAACCTGCGTTAGCTTTGATGTGTAACCGGATCTAGTGTTCTTAAATAATACAGGAATATGTTGGTAATTGTTTTCGATTCTGGATTCCATTCGTCTTCTCTTACCTCTTCTCTTTTTGCCTTTCAGCTTATGAGACCGTCTTCCTTTACCTCTGGTGTTCAGGTATGGATTTAATCGTTTAATGAGTTCCCCTTCCATCATGCTTACTTCCGACTTCACATCGGTCCATATCGGTATCAACACATACTTCTCTCATCCAAACTTCCGTAACCACCCGTATAGTTTGTGTTGTATACCCGCCTTAGCGTTCCTGGCTAAGTTTACGTGTTCGCTCCATCTCCTGTCCGGTTTCCTTTCAGTTCTTCCTACGTAAAAATGTCGACACCAAGGTGATATTAGCACATACACACTATAGTTTGCTTCCAATAATGAGCTAAAGCCATAGTGTTGTGCAGTCCAAAATTCAACCAATATACTTGCCCAGGGTATGCATCCCTCTAGTGTTAGAGATACGAAAAGTAACCTGAACAAATTACTATACTCTGCGCACTGCTTCAAACCACCTACATCTACCAGTCTCTCAATCGTCGATGCTACACGATGTATGTGCGCCCACTTTTGTTCCTTGGTGAGTACTCCCGACGGCTGAGGCCCTTCTACCTTCCCGAGAGGTTCTGCAAGCTAGAAGAAGTTGAAGATGAGTCATCACTGGAGTCCGATTCATATGATTCATAACTGGTGTCTGACCTGACTTCCACTGGTGAGTGCTCTAGATCAGAGTCACGATTGAAGTCCCTTCCTTCATACTAAACTAGTCCTGGTACTTGCCTCAGTGCAGAGATAGCTTGGGGTTTGTCCTTGTACTTGATGTCATGGATCTTGCATAGATCTTGCAGATCTGTGTACTGGAGTCGCAGTAGTTGAGAGTCCATAATCGGTTCGAATCTGAAGTTGATGTTTCTCTTCGCTCTGCTAATCCTTGTCGTTCTCTTCAACTTCGTGCGTTCGTTCTCGGGATGCATCAGCGCTGGTCTGCCGAGGATACTGCGACTTGGTGCGCTTCGGGTAGGCGCTCCTCTGCTCACGTGAACTGAGGTAGGTGCTCCAATCATCATCGATCCGTGATACATGTTCGGATTGACTGTCGATGAAACATGCGGTGTGCAGGTTCTTGTAGGTTCGTTGATCTTCTTCAATGTTCCCTTCACCGCTGCGAGATCATACTTCATCAGTTTAATCTCGTTGACGTCCCTACGCATCTCTGAAACTAACTTCTCCATGTTTCCTTCTTCCGTTGCTGGTCGTTCAGTAGCCGTAACACCTTGTGGCGCATTACCCATCTTGCTCGTTTCCCCTTCTTTACTCCGTGGAAGAGTTGATTCGAGCGCTTTGTCTATCATCGCTTTGAGTTCTGACGGAGAAACTTGATTTTTCTCCTTCTCTACCTCCTTGCTATGTCCCTCTACCTGACTCTTCTTGTGTCTCCCACCACTTGTCTCCCCTTTGCCTGATTGCACTACCTTCATGCATTCGGCCACCTTAGCATTCAACTGCTCAACTGTCTTCTTTACTTTCTCCAACTCCCTTCCAAGTGCAAAAATCTCTTCCTTCAATTCTGGTGTGAACCAGGCTCTGTTGCCTGGAGGAGGGAAGTCATTCCTCCTCTGCTCCCATTGCAGTCTACCAAATCGCCTTGGGGACTCAGATTCAACACGTCTCCTCTTCCGTATAGATGGTGACCTTGACTTGTGGCGTCGATCACTTTGAGATCTCGATCTACCCCGTCTGGTCTTCTTCACCTCGTGTGACTTCGATGATGATGATGTGGAGGAGTGTCTGCGTTTCCGCCTTACCGACGATGAGCGCGAGCGCGCCATCCTCCCCGAAGTACTTGGGCCTCCGAAGATTTCAATCCACAATCTGAATAAAAGGTACCCCGAAGTACTTGGGCCTCCGAAGATTTCAATCCACAATCCGAATAAAAGGTAAAAGTCAGCGTAGATACACGAAATAGAAAAGGAAAAAAAAAATTACGAGTCTGATAATCACCAAGAACACACCGTGCAATATAGGTAAACGGCTGACGAATGAGTAAGATACCCAGAAGGATACCACCGATAAAAAACAAACAATAAGAGAAATAAAGTCGACGAAGTAAAAAAGTGACTGAATCTCCAACAACAAAATCAAAGAAGCTTCATAGAATCTCCATAACTCGTCAGTAAACATCTGCATCGTTCCGTAGTCCAGCCAACAGCTACACTGAGTAAGTATAACTACACAATAAAGAGAAGAAGTTGATACCCACCAAATTCAGTGTCGATCTTCACGGGTGTCCCCCGCACGTTCAAAGCACCGTGCTTTGAGATACCACTTGCAATATTGGACAACACGTGCGAGGCTTTACTTTTCACAGTATACACGCCCTGTCCATGGCATGCGACAAACCCTGCCGAGACTACCCCTCTGCCTCACTGCTCAGGTAATCATCTCAGTCATTATCCATCATATATATACTCTCCCAGAGGTCCAAGTACTTCCCATCCTTCTAGCCTATTCCCGTGCAGATTCCTCACATCATCAGCGTCGAAGTCACTGTCGTCGTCTGTCCCTCACTTGATCTTGATCTTGATCTCCGCGCCGTCTGTCGTGTTATGTCTCATTCTTCGTGTCATGTCTCAACCTTCGCATCGAACTTTCCTCTGAATGAGATCACATAACTGATGTCTGAACAAATCCATGTATGCATACCTACTTTGTTTATTTGTTCATTTGTCTGTGCAACATACGTGCGTGAAATTTCGTTCGATTTGGTTCACAGGTGAGTTATATTTCATTTTCATTTTCATTTTCATTTTCATATTTATTTGTTTGTTTGTTTGTTTATTTGTTTATTTTTCATGCGAAATTCCCGGTACTTCATTCGTTTCATTTCTCTTCATTTCTCGTTTCGTATGTTGTGGAATTTGTACGGTACTTTTGTACTTATATTCTGGATACGCGGTAAGTTTCAGGCATTTCACATACGGTACTTGGGCTAATGATTTTCCCAGTCTGGCCGCGCGGTCAGATTCAAATATTTCGGAGTTACTTTGGACCTTCGTACTTATATTCTCACTGTGGTCGCTTGGTTACTTCATGCATTTCGGAATATGTGACTTGAGACGTGAGATGTTATAGCTTAGTTATCCTTCGTGTCTGTTGCTTTCTTTCGCCTCATTGCTTTCTGTCTTCTTCCTCCATGAATTTCAAGAAGTGTTGTCGTATCTCATTATGTTTGCAGTTTCTGATGAAAACGAGCCATGCCGTTCGTGATACTCTCTAAGGATATTCCATGATATTGAGTTTTGTCGCGTATAGTTTTATTACCGCTGGTAAATCAGATGGGTCGTACGTGTTGGCGACCATTCTGTGCAGTGTGCCAAGTATCGTGAACACCTTGGTTTTCACCGACCCCACGCTCCTGAAGTGACAGATATATCTCTGAGAGAGAGAGAGAGAGAGAGAGAGAGAGAGAGAGAGAGAGAGAGAGAGAGAGAGAGAGAGAGAGAGAGGCTGAATGGCAAAATTGAAATATGGGTCAAATTGCGGTCACAATCTATTTCGCAGTTGGAATGATTTTTTTAAATTTATTTAGCGTTTTTCTTGGAAAGATCACAACAAAATCTACGAGTACTCCAATTTTCAGGTTTTTTTACGCATTCTTCTGAGCGTGAAAACTCATTGAATTTGGAGTACTTTTTTAGTTGGCCCAGGCATGGCTGAGTGGCAAAAATGGAAAATGTGCTGAAACGGCGCGACGATTATTTCGCAGTCTAAATGATTTTTTGTAAATGTTCTATTATTATTTCTGGAAAGAACACGACCTCATGTATGGATTCTCAAAATTTCAGATTTTTGTGTATGTTCGTCTGAGCACAGAAAATCGCCAAAGTTGCCTCTTGCAAAACGCCTGTTAGGTTGTGCCTTACCTCCCTGTTTTGAGCAGACGGGGCTCAACGCCTGGGCCTGAGAGCCCTTTTGCAGTTCACATGCCCTCACTTCTTTTTGGGGTCCGCTTCTACCCGATGACCGGTCCAATGCCCCCCACTTCTTTTTGGGGTCCACTTCCACCCGAGGACCGGTCCTTCGTTTTTCCAGAAGTCCCGGTTCTACCAGAGCTAGCTGTAGGTAGTCCGCAATTTTGGCAAGGACCGGTTCCCCAAATTTTTTTACCCCTTAAGAACCCACTTTGCGTCCTGGTCGCTCGCCACCAAAAATGCGTCACCTTGACACAGACGCGGAAGCCCACTACACTGCAGCCTAAGGGCTGCGAACTAACTTCAGAAAAGGGAAACAACCCCTCAAAACCAAATCACCAGAAAGGGGGGAAATCATCAGAAAAAGGAAAAGCAACATGTAACCAGTTATATGGCCGCCAATTTCTGATTACGGCGGCTGCTGGAGAAAAAGACCAAAAGAGATGTTGTCTGTGCACGAGTCAATTGTAAGCAGAGAGGGCATGCAACCAACCTTTCCTTGAACCACTTGAGCCCAGCTCCAAGAGAAGTCGCCATTTTAATCTTTTTTGCCCAGCCCAGCCAGATGATATGTCGAAGAGTCTTGCGTACGTAGCAAAGGAGTCGTTGCAGTGATGGCAAACCCTCGTTTCTGACCACATCATTTCCCTGCCTCCAAATGGCCCACAACACTGTTGCTCGAAGAGTTTCATACACATATGCTCTGGGTTTGCGGAGGTGCACGAGTAAGGTTCCTAAGAGTATTCCTCCCTCTGTCCACAAATCTCCCCAGTGAGCCGATGTGACTTCTCATCTTTCCATTTTGCCCACAATACTCTCACATGGTTGCAGGTAACCCAAATGTGCTGCGCATCCTCTACCACGCAGCCACGGTTACACACTTGGCAGAAAGACACTCCCTTTTTACATCTGCAGTATATCATTTGCGCTGTAGGGACAGCGTCATGAGGCCCGCATGTTTTGCTACAAAGAGTGAGGACAAAAGCTTCCAAAAGAGAGGCAGTCTTTCAATTTGCACTACATATCCTAAACGCCTCCATTTGGCGAGTACTTGTGATGCGCTAGTTCCTGGACCTGCATCCCCTTTCCTCCCCCCCCCTCCCCTTTTCTTTCTTTTCGTCGAATTTCGGGTGACCATTCGACGAGGCCTCTTTTTGTATTTTCATGAATGTAATATGTGGGACCCTCGAATCAATTTTTGAAAATTTGTTTTTTGCAAGTTCGGGAATTACATGGGAATTATGTGCGCCTTAGCAAGCGCGCTATGAATTTGGGTCCGCGGTTAGGAAATTCGGAATAAGCGGAATCTGATGTGTCCTTTCTTGCGCTTCTCAACTTCGTAAAGCTCTGGGAACTTTCGTAGGAATCTGAATAGGCATAAGATTTTTTTTCTCTCACGCCTGCTCTCCCTCACGGATATGGTACTTTTCAATTTGAAATAGCTGTAACTTTTTTGGTGCCCTTTTTGCCTCCGCGTCGGCGCCATGCATGGGAGCCTCCCCTCCCCGCTTCCCACGCTGCCTTCGACACTCTCCTCTTCGTGCTCACGCTCCTTCTCTCTCTTTAACCGTTTTCCACCTCTCTTTCGACCTTGCGCGCCTTTTCTCTCCTTCTTGATCGACTGAATCGTGGTTTCGTTTCACGGTATTCCTCGCGCTCTTCTTCTTCCCGCTCTGATCCCCGCACCAAAATACCCTGTCTACCCCCTCTTACTTCCCCTAGCCAAGGAGACGCGCCGTGTAAGAAGGAAATTCCTGATACACGACGATTCTGATTGGCTGCAGCTGGGATCCAAAGGATCGACATGGCTTTCATCGGGCAATCCCTGAGCCTTCTCCTACTCCTCCCTGTCTCAATCTTAACCCTTCCTAGCATCTATCTTCTTTTCCGCAACTATAAATTCCACAAGCGCTCCCGAAAATCTCTCTCTCGACTCATCAGCCCGCTTCCGGGAAGCCGTGGCTAGATGGTATGAAGGAAGATGCGAGTCGAAAAGTACCGACGAGTTGGTTGTAGTCGGGACGCTCGGTATGCTGGATCGCCCGACGGACTGTGGGATCCGAGTAGGGTCGTGCCGAGGCTAAGTCGGTGGGGTGACGATCGCTATGGTGGATTTGGCACGTGACGGCCGGGATCGTCAGCGCAGGTGAGATGTTCAAGGCTCGAGTCGGAAGTGAGTGAGTGTATGGCCTGGGGCTATGGTGGAATCTTATGGCATAAGTGCTTCCTTTTTTTTGTTGTCCCTAAATTTGTATCTTCAAGTGTGAATTCCGATCGCTCGACTTTTAAGCCGAAACTTCCCTGGACAAGATTGTCTGACATTCTGTGATTACTTTCCACTCGTTCTTCCCGCCTGGTCTACGTCCATACTCTCTCTCTCTCTCTCTCTCTCTCTCTCTCTCTCTCTCTCTCTCTCTCTCTCTCTCTCTCTCTCTCTCTCTCTCTCTCTCTCTCTCTCTCTCTCTCTCTCTCTCTCTCTCTCTCTCTCTCTCTCTCTCTCTCTCTCCTCCGGTCACGCTATATCGTAATGGATGAATTATGGTAACCTTGTTTTTCTCACTTCGGTATGTGCATGCGGTGAGTCGTGTTAGGGAGTTTGTTATAGCATGATTGTAAAGACGATTGGCTGATGGACTGAATGGTCTGATTGCTTGGAGTGTCAGACGAATGATGTATGATTAAGATCTGTTTTGAGCTTATCTTTGCTGCCATGTGGACTAACGGCCCCAATCCGACTAGGCGCCAACTCCCCGTGCGCCTGCGGCGCGCCTTCCCGTACAACAAGGAAATGATACGTGTATGCGAGTAGGACGTACGAGAAGCCGTCGCCAAGATCGGAGGGTGTTATTTCTTTCCTCCCGAAACTCGGCGTTCTCGATTTGTCGGTGCGGGTTTTGTTATCATCGATATGCATTTTCTGCCCTATTCATTGTTATT